TTGAGCCCAGGACTCTGAGGTTGCTGTGAGCTAGGCTGACGCCACGGCACTCTAGCCTGGGGAACAGAGCAAGACTCTGTCTCAAAAAAAAAAAAAAAAAATTTCTTTGTTACTGGTGTGAGGCAGACAGAATGGTAGTGCCAGACTGCATAGCTCTAGTATTTCTCAGCCACAAGATCTGAGTAAGTCACTCTGCCTTAGTTTCCTTCTCCATAAAATGAGGGTTATAATAGTGCTTATCTTCTAAAGGATTAGACTAGTTAATAACTATAAAATTCTTATAACAGCTTTGGCACATGGTAAGTTCTCAATTACTGTTGGTTGTGATTTCGAGAGTATAAGTGATTTCTTTTTGTGTTTTGTATCATGTTTCACAGATTAATTTGAATTGAATAGAAACAAACCATCACAGGCACATAGAATAAAGTTTTATCCTAATGAGGAGTCAAATCTCACTGAGATACCAGGATCATGTGCCTTTGCCAAGCCAAAACTATCCCAAGAAGTTGTTATTCTCTTTCCAACCTACATCCATTATCAGAAAACAGTTAGCTCCTCTCCCTTCCACAGGCTTGTATCTCTTCTGCTGCCCAGAACCTGCTGAACTAGAAGTGCTTTCCTCGATTTACCCTTTGCCTGCCACTTCCAGAATCCCCTTGTCTCAGAATTTTTTTTCCATTTTACAAATGCTATGTACACAAGTCGCATTGCATCAGCCTGGTTAGCACAAATATTTATGTATGAAGGTGGGATGAGTCACTCCAGCACCCAGATGTATTTGGAAAGTGATGTTCTAAGAGAAATCTGTTTTGAACCTCAGTAAGCACTAATATTCAATGTCTGTTGAGGGGACTTATTTTAATTAAACAGTTTTGTTGAATAAAGGTCACTCCATCCAGATGGCATTTCCATTTCCCAGGAGGCCCTGGAGCATGTTTGCCTGTGGGATTCATCCCAGGACCTGCCTGGCTGAGGCATCAGGAGCTCTTTCCTCTCTGAGGTCATCTCATTCACAGAAAACTGTTCAGGGACTCAGCAGGGCTCCTGGGGCTGTGTGAGTGCCTGCAGACCCCAGAGACTCCACCCAGTGTTGGACTCTCAGTGGTTGGACGGCTTGGGTCAGGCCAGCCTGCCCCGCCCATCACTTCCTCACTTTCCACAGCCTCAGGTTTCCAAGCAGGGGGAAAGGACGGAGCACTCTCACCCTGACTCACTCCAAGGATGCAATCTCAGCAGTCCTTCCGAAGGAGGGGAGCAAAAAGGAGCCATCAGGGAAAATCTCCCCCACTTTTGAGGTGTGGGATTAGTCCTTGAGCCTTTTGCTCTCAGCCAAAACGTTTGAATGGTGGATGTTTCCTGACACTTGCTTTGCCAAATGATATATTAAATTCGGCAACCACAGTGGTAAATCCACCAACCCCCTTTGTTAATTCTAAGTTTCCCTTTTATTTTCCATGCAGAAGCAGAGTTTGTCTATGACTTTTTTATACAGATCATGGAACAACTTAAAAAGTATTTTAGTTTATTTATCCAGACCAATATACCTTCAGAGAAAAGCAATTTCCCCCCAAACGGTACCTTGTATAATATTTGCTGGCTCATCCAAATAACCCTCTCTCTCTCTCTCTCTCTCTCATTGCTTCTTTGAAGGCAGCTGAAAGGCTGAACTGTTCCCTGTTTGTGCATCCCTGGGACATGCAGATGGATGGACGGATGGACAAATACTGGCTCCCTTGGCTTGTAGGTTTGTGTTTGCTTGGGGTCTGGAACACAGAGCCAACTCTTGCGTTTTTCCAACCATCTGTGGAATTCTATTATGTCAAATAGAGAAAGCATGAATAATTAACAGGACTGTGAGTAATAACAACTATGATTTCTTGAGCCCTTACTCAGGTCAGTGCAGTATATATTACCTTGTTTAATTTCAATTGTATCTGATACAATCATAAGTAAATTATATCATAAATAAATCATATATTTAACCTATGAGGTTGACATTATAATGACCATTTTACAGATGGAGAAACTGAGTCTTCTAGTGGTTAGGTGAGTTGTCCAAGTCACACAGTTAATAAGTAAAAATGGAGTTTACACAGATCTGTCTGCCTCCAAAGCGACCTTGCTGCATAGACTCCCAAAGAGGCTCTAAAAAAAGAGTAACCATGCCTGTCTAGTAGATTTTTTTAGAAGCTAATAATAGCATCATCACCTCTTACAAATGAGAGCCCTGGAATTACAAGCAGAAGGTCCACTTCCACCACCCACGGATCTGAAGCCGTAGATCATCAATGACTCAGGGGTACAGTTGTCCTCGTCTGCTCCTCTCCTCTGCCCTTCGCCTCCTGCACTGTTCACTCCTAGCTCCACATGAGGGTAAGGAAAAGGGAAAGACGAGAAGCCTCTGTTTTGGCCTTATCAGTCTTGATAAGAAGAGATGGAGAACAGATGCAAAATTGTGGAGCTACAAGTGAAAAGTACAGCTCTTCTACAAACCCAGTGAAAAATGGGTCCCCAAACAAAAAGCGTTGGACTTTCTTTAGGAGGGCCATTATCCATTCTTTCCATAATTGTTAATTATGAATTCAGCAAAATGCCAACCACCATGAAGAATTAAATGGAGCAATAAGTTGGAAGTCAAAAAAACTGACTTTCGGTTCCAGCTTAGTCTGTATTGCACTGTATAATCCACAGGAAATCACGTCACCTCCTTGGGCCCCTGTTCCTCAGATGTAAAATGAGAATGCTGTCCAGATTCCTTCACAAGTCTCTTTCTGCTCTGACATTTTATATTTCTGTGATTGCTGCTGAGACCAAAGTATTTAGTAAGGCAGCTTCCTACCTGTCCTCCACCAAATTCTTGAGCCATAATTAGTAGGAAGAGATAACCTAAAAGGCCCAGTGCTGTCAAGCTTCAAAGAAAATCTCATCCTTATTCACAACACTTGACAAGTCCCATAAACTTATTTATATTGCAACTTCCCACGTGAAAAACAGAGGGGAGCGTTTGCATATAGAGTCATTTCACCATTCACTTATGCAACACGTACACATTGATCCCCTCCAGCAGGCCAGGCCTGTACCCGGCACCGAGGACAGAAACAAATCCTCTGCCCTTATGGAGCTTATATTCTGGTTAGCGGAAAGAGATAATAAACAAGTACATGGATCACAAACAATCAGGCTAATGTCAGGATTTTATTTGGGATGCAAAGGTGGTCACTAGTAGATTGGACGATTCCCAGTAGAGAAGGGTCATGATCCAATTCACACTGAAAATATAACATTGGCTCTTGTAAGCAGAATGGATTGTGGGGTTATGGTTCAAGTACTTAATGGAAAGCAGAATCATAGGACGTGATATTGTCCATCTCCCTGCCTTCAGGAAGCTCTGCCTACAAACCACTCCCAGATAGATAGGAATCCAGCATGCTTCCAGAATTCCCAGGAGGCTGGGGAGCCGGGGGTGTCTCTGTCTGCGGAGCAGCAACCCTAGGCCCTGGGCAGGGTCATCTGGTGAAGCCCCACTCGGCAGCCCCGAGAGTCAGGCTTCCCCAGAAGGGGCAGGGCACGGCTGGGGAGCAGTCAGAGATTTCTGAATCAGTCTGAAAAGCAGTCATCTGGCAACATAGCCCAGACTGGCTCATTGGGGGCGAAGGCATCAGACATGGATCAGCTACTTCTTCTAGAAGCACAAAGCACTTGAAATAATTCATTTTGATTCAGTTATTTTCAACCTCAGCTCCAAGAGGCAAGAAAGATTTAGCAGGAATAATAACAATTAATATTTAGTGAGCACTCACTAAGTGCCAGGTGCTGTTCCACCAAATCCTCAAAGCAACTGGCAGGAACTAACCATTTAACAGATGAGGAAATGGAGACACAGAGAGGCAGCTAATATTTGTTGAGCATCCCCAATGTGAATTTCTGCCCAGGAACTTTGCTAACATCATCATTTGCAAAGGTCCACAATGGACTTGCAAGATGGGCAACAGTGTGAACAATGTGAACAAGTGCAGGCTCAGGGACATTAAATAACCGGTCAAGGGCCAGGAGGCGGCAAATTGGAGGTAGGGGTGAGCCCAGACTCATTACACTCGGCTTGCCTACATCCGAAACTGAAGTCAAGAGAATCAGGGCAAACGCCAGGTCCTCTGGCTCCTCAATTGTTCTAGCCATAGACAAGTTCCCCTGCAAGTGGCAATTAGGAAGCTTCAGATGGTTCTCTTTGCCAAAGTAATGTATACAGCCAAGCCATGCTGGGGCACAGGGGCCCCAAGTTGCTTTGCACTGACAGTTCCCCAGCCATTAGCTGCCAATCCCCAGCAATTAACGTCACTGAACTTCTTCTTGCTTGAGATGACAAGCCCTGAGCCTTGTGCTATTTCCTCTTTCAGGAATGCCAACAGAAACCACCATAGCCATTTGTTCCATGATCATGGGTGGAGTGTTTGAGAAGTTTCCTAAACTGAAAGTGTGTTTTGCACATGGAGGTAAAATCCTATCTATCTGTATTAGTCAGCTCAGACTGCCATAACAAAATGCCACAGACTAGGTGGCTTTTAAACAATAGAAATTTATTTGCTCACAGTTCTGGAGGCTAGAAGTCCAAGATCAAGGTATTGGCAGGGTTGGTTTCTAGTGAGGGCTCTCTTCCTAGCTTGTGGACGGCCACCTTCTTCACATGGCCCTTCTCCTGTGCATTCAAGGGGCAAGCTCTTTTGTCCAATAAGATGTTAGTCCTACTCGATTAAGGCCTCACTTTTTGACTTCATGTAACCTTAACTACCTCCTTAAAGGTCCTTTCTCCAAATACAGTCACACTGGGTAGGGCTTCAACATAGGAATTTTGGAGAAATACAATTCAGTCCATAACATCCTTCCAGCCATCATTCTAGTCATATGATAGTTTGAGGACCAAATTCTATTTTTGTAGGCAAATTTACTTTGCTTGGCACAGTTTTAGTTTTATTTTGTTTTGTTTTTTATTTAAATCCCTCTAGTAAGACTATGAGCTCTCCAGTCTGCAGTAGTCCCTACCATTCTCCATTGTTTACAAATAGGCCTATTTCATTTATTTCCATTGCCTGCCTGGCTCCTGTAGGTAACTGAATTTGTGACTCTTAGACACACACATACACACATACACACACAATATAAAACTATACATGTTGTTCTCTAGCCTGCTTTTCCTTCTCAACAGCATAGAGAAGATTCTTTCCATGTCAATGAAAGAGCTCCATTTTTGATGGCTTCATGCACGCATTACATTTTATGGATATGCCATCATGATTTAGTCCCCAACTGACAGACTGTCTCGGTATTTTGCTATTATAACCACACTACATTTGAAAAACTTGGCCACATATCTTTACACACTTGTCTTCTCTCTTTAGGATAAATTTCTCAAGTCTGAATTTCTAGGTGAGTTAATGTCATTTCTTCTAGGTCATCTCCCAGTATTTGGAGTGCAGTGGGTCCTTTGTAATTACTGTTAATCAGCTGGGCTATGGTAACTTCTTGCATACAACATTAGGACTGAGGAATCCTTTCCCATCAACACAAGCCCCTCAGCAACGGGTTTTACTTGCAGGTGGTTCCTTCCCCTTCACAGTGGGAAGAATCTCTCATGGATTCAGCATGCGGCCAGATCTGTGTGCCCAGGACAATCCAGTTAACCCGAAGAAATACCTTGGTTCCTTTTACACAGACTCCTTGGTGCATGATCCTCTGTCCCTCAAGCTGTTAACGGATCTCATAGGAAAGGTAAGCCGGGTTTAACATCTGAATGGTTTATGAATGGTTTACGGGGAGCACAATGCTGGATCAGCAACCAGTTACTTGGCCTCTCTCCAAAAAAGGGGTGGAAGAAAAGGCATAAGAAGAAAGGAGAGGCCAGGCGCAGTGGCTCATGCCTGTAATCCTAGCACTCTGGGAGGCCGAGGCGGGCGGATCGTTTGAGCTCAGGAGTTCGAGACCAGCCTAAGCAAGAGCGAGACCCCCGTCTCTACCAAAAATAGAAAGAAATTAATTGGACAGCTAAAAATATATAGAAAAAATTAGCCAGGCATGGTGGCGCATGCCTGTAGTCGCAGCTACTTGGGAGGCTGAGGCAGTAGGATTGCTTGAGCCCAGGAGTCTGAGGTTGCTGTGAGCTAGACTGACTCCATGGCACTCACTCTAGCCAGAGCAACAAAGTGAGACTCTGTCTCAAAAAAAAAAAAAAAAAAGAAGAAAGGAGAGGCACAGAGAGGTTTGGGATTAGGTTTGCTTGCACAGCGGATCCTCTCCGGAGCCTCCCTCAACCCAGAGTGTGTATCACCAGGGAACCATTACACATGCCAGAGAAATCCCAGATAATCCACATGGCTGGGAATTTCCCCCAGATCAGCTCCTCTTCTTTAGGGACATCTCTATATTCATCCAAAATGCCATGTGGCAACATGGTAAGCAGGAAAGAGCTACCAGTTTTGAAGTCAAATTGACCTGAGTTAAAATCCTGGCTCTACCTCTTGCTAGTTGGGTAAATTGTTACCACAACTGTCCTCATCCACTAAATGGAGAAAACTGGAACATTAAAAGGGGGGAAATGCAGGGCTGGGAACTGGCACTGGACAGGGAGTCAGGGAAGATGGTAGAGCTGTGGTCCCTAACCCCTGGGCCACCAACTGGTACAGGTCCATGGCCTGTTAGGGACCAGGCCGCAGAGCTCCGCTGCCCCCAGCCCCCATGTCTGTGGAAAAATTGTCTTCCATGAAAGTTAGAAAGTGGGGGTGATGTGCACAGCAGGAGGTGAGCGGTGGGCAGGCAATCGAAGCTTCATCTGTATTTACAGCCACTCTCCATGGCTCACATCACTGCCTGAGCTCTGGCCTGCCCCCCATCCCCCTCCTCCACCCCACCCCCTTCCCTGGAAAAATTCTCTTCCAATGAAACCGGTCCCTGGTGCCAAACAGGTTGGGGACTGCTGTGGTAGAGGGTCTTGTGTACAATGCCACGAAATTCCTTCCTGGAATAATACGGCCTTTGTTTTGAAAACAATTCTCTCATTTGATTAAAGGACCAGCATGGTGGTCCTTCAAACTCCACAAGAAAAGTCTTTCCTTTGTTGTGGTCTCCTAGCAGATTTCCCTGCTGGCAGTACCCCTAAAGTATTCTTTGAAAATGCTAACTCTGCAAGTGAGAGAATTTTTAGGGCAAAGGCCAGTGTGAATTAGCAAAAAGTCTGAAACATTTAGTACTTCAATTTCATTTGGTTATTAATACTTACAGATATCTATAGATTTCCAAATTTTCCCAAGGAAAAAAAAAATCTTTGGGGTTTTAAAAAAGTATATGGATGTGTTTAAAGATTTGCCATATGGTATTCAGGTTGCAACTAGACTCTAAGATTTTAAAAATCTTGTTTAGCAGAAAAAGAGGTCCATCATTTGAAAGTTGCAAGTAGTATTCTACCTCCAGAATAAACACTTCATCTTACTTTAATGCTAAGTGCTTCTCTGGTTTGAGGAAATCACTAGGATATAAATCTTAAATATTCTAGTTTGGTAATAAATTATGTGGTTGAGCTGTGTCTCTGAGTTGCCTAGCTTTTGTGTTGCCCCTGCTGAGATGGGTCGTTGCAGGTGGTCATGACCGTTAATTGTTTTGGATTTGAAATGTGGGTATAATCAAATCTTTCTTTCAATGGTGATGTGTTTTGGATTTGAATGGAGGGCGACTGGGAGATGTATAAACAGCAGACTACAAAGGGGAGAAACTGACGGGTGTGGAATTGGGGAAAGGGTTATTCTCATTATATCCCATCAAGCCTAGTATTCCCTAGTATTCTGGAAATGGAAACATCAGGAGAAAAATCCCTTGGCAAACACAAAGCCCATCTCTTGAGGGACACCATCAGCAATGAGGGTCGCTATCACCTTCAAACAGCACCCAGGGCAATACACATTGGCCAGGGGGCCAGAGAAGCAGAAGAAGAACATGGCAAGTGCCTCATGGTAACCAGTGGATGGACCAGTTGGTGAGAACATGTGATTACGCCCCTATTAGGCACTCCCAGAAAAACTCAGAGGGCACTTTGCAAAGTTAGTGGTACTGAGATCTTGCATTCAAATTGCAAAGGCTTGAGCTATTATAATTTGGGCATCAAAAGTAAATGTGACCTCATTTTATGTGATGTTACAGGCTGAGGAATCCAGAACATAGAAGCAGTATGTATCAATAATTTAGGATTCTTTTTAAAATATTAATGCTTTCTCATTCTAGTTATATTCGCATTAGCGAATTCTCTTTTAGAAACAATCCCCAAATCAGAATGGATAAGGAAAGTCCTAGCAGGACGGACATCTGGGCTACAAAGCCACCTAGCCAGATTAGAGCAAGAGCACGGAATGCTGTGTAGGGAGGTCTCTAGAAACAAGAACAATAACAACAACAACAACAAAGTAGAACTGATGTATTAGTTGGTGTGTTTGAGAGTTGGATACAATTATTGCTAGACATTTAACAGATCTGCTGATGCATTAGGAACAAAGAAGTAGTATATATAGAGAGAGAAAATTAAGCAAATGAAAGAAAAGGACATAACTTAAGAAAACAAAAATCTGTATGAGGGCAGATAATAATCATACATTACTTGACTCAGCAGTGAACAATATTTATATTCATAATACTATGAATACTGGGTACTGGTTTAACAGAAAATTATAATTCTATTGAGAAAATACGGAAGTTGAAGAAAGAAATTCTCAATGAACCTAATGGGAAATAGGTAAATATTCTCTAAAGCTAATAAATCAAGAAAGAATGTATGAGTTTATTATCTGCGAATATCAAGGTAATTGTCAGAAGATACAAGTTGAAAAGATAAAAGAAGTTACTTTGGAGGTCAAGAGTTAGGAAAGTGGGCCCAGGACTGGTTTTGATAATAAAGATATTTTAGTAATGTGTGATTATTTAACCACATATAGACATATCTTTGATAAATAAAAATTTTAAATATCTTAAGAATAAACAGATATATGTAATATATTTAAAAAAACAAAACCATTATTGAGCACCTACTATTTCTAAAACACTGAGCTACTTGGTCAAGAAGTACTTAAATTACTTAACCTTTTGGCTTCCTTCCTCCTTCTAAAATTCTTCACCTTCAATCTATATCTGCTCATTTTTAAAGACAGATGCAAAGAATGCTAGTTATAAGTCTATCACTGTGAAAAATCCAAAAAAAGGGAAACTTTATTGCCTCCCTATATTAACATGATCATAGAAAACAGACTTTATATATTTAGGTGGATAGATTTTTAAGAGGTCGGTCATATCATATAACCATATGGTTACATCATAATTTTGGCTAGATCCATTGGTAATCTACTGCTGCATAAGTATAGTCATCTGTCTTTTAATGGTGGAGATACCTTATGAGAAATGCAGCATTAGGTTCTTTCATTGTTGTGCGAATATCATAGTGTGCTTACATAAACCTAGAAGGCATAGCCTACTGCACACCTAGGCTCCATGGTGTAACCTATTGCTCCTAGGCTACAAACCTATACAGCATGTCACTATACTAAATAACTTTAGGCAATTGTAACACAATGGTAAGTATTTGTGTGTCTAAACATAGAAAAGGAACAGTAAAAATAAGGTATAAGATAAAAAATGGTACACCTGTATAGGGCACTTATCACAAATGGAGCTCACAAGACTGGAAGTTGCTCTGGGTGAGTCAGTGAGTGAGTGGTGAGTGAATGTGAAGGCCTAGGACTTACTGTGCACTACTGCAGATGTCACAAACACTGCATATTTAGGCTACACTAAATTTATTTTTAAAGTTTTCCTTCCTTTGATGCTAAATTAACCTTAGTTTACTGTAACTTTTACTTTATAAACTTTTAATTTTTTAAATTTTTGTTGTCTTTTGTAATAACACTTAAAACATAAACACATGGTACAGCTGTACAAAAATATTTTCTTTCTTTATATCTTTATTGTGTAAGTTTTTTCTTTTCTTTCTTTCTTTCTTTTTTTTTTTTTTTTTTGAGACAGATTCTTACTCTGTTGCCCAGGCTGGAGTGCAGTGGCTCAGTCACAACTGACTGCAGCCTCAAACTCCTGGGCTCAAGCAATTCTCCTGCCTCAGCCTCCCGAGTAGCTGGGACTACAGGGATACACTACCACACCTGGCTAATTTTTTAAAAAATTTTGTAGAGATGGGGTCTTGCTATATTGCCCAGACTGGCCTTGAACTCCTGGCCTCAAGCAATCTTCCTGCCTCAGCCTCTCCACGTGCTGGGATTACAGCTTTTTTCTATTTAAAAAAATTTTTTTTACTTTTTAAACATTTTTGTTAAAAACTATGACACAAACACACACATTAGCCTAGACCTGACAGGGTCAGGATCATTAATATCACTGTCTTCCACCTCCACACCTTATCCCACTGGAAGATCTTTATGGGCAATAACACACATGGAGTTGTCATCTCCTATGACAACAATACCTTCTTCTGGAATACCTCCTGAAGGACCTGCCTGAGGCTGCTTGACAGTTAACTTTTGTTTTTATAAGCAGAAGAAGTACACTCTAAAATAACCAGTAAAAGTATAGTAAATACATAAACTAGTAATACAGTCATTTATTATCATTACCATTTATTATGTACCATACATAATTGTATGTCCTATACTTTTATAGGACTGGCAGTGCAGTAGGTTTGTTCATACCAGCATCCCACAAACATGTGAATGTGTTGCATTATGATA